ATATATTGCTAAGTTTGCCTGGGTCAGCTTATGAGTTTCTGAGGTCACACAAGATTTATATAGGAAATTCGTGTAATATAACCAAAATTTTATATGTAAATCATATGATATCATATGATTTGCTATAAAATTACTAGTAAAAATGATTTATGTCATCTTTATCCTTAAATTAGTTTACTTAATATAGTTTTTTTATAAATTTAAATATAAAAAAAAATTACTACTAAATTTATATATAATTTTAAAATAATATACTTTATTTTTAAAATATTTTTCATTGCATTTTGTTCTTAACATTATTTATTAATTGTTTTATTTGATTTTAATTATATTTGATTTTTTGAATATTTGAACTTGATTAAAATCTTATATTTTTTTAAATAATTTAAAGTTTTAATACTATCTTAAATATATGCATATTTAATGAATTAGTAGTTTTTTTTTATTTTAATACTATTATTGAAAAGAAATATATTTAGATTTGGTTATAAGCCCAAATCAAGATGCTGATTTCTAAATCCTAAGTAGTAATGCTATAATTAAAAAAATAAAAAGTCAGATCACAACTATATTATATATCTAATTAGTAGAGAGATTTCTTTTGTTTAATATTATAGCAAAATATGTTGATTTAGTAGTTTTACACAGCCTAATATAGAATTATAAATCTTTTAAAATTATACTTACAAAGATTAAAACATTAAGATACTATAATATTGAAATCTATAATTATTTAGGTCTAATTATCTTTTAATTTAGTATCTATATTATTTTTTAAATCAAAAATGTATTATTATATATTAATGACTACTGAATTTAACTAAGTTTCAATGAAAGATGATAGACTTATTATCATAGTTTTTTTTTTATTGTAAAATGTAAAATGACCAGTATTTATAATTAATTGAAATTAATATATTACAATATTTACTTAGTTAAATTCAAAATTTGTTCTTTAATATCATATTATAAACTAAAAAATAGCAATATAAATTAAAAAATAATAATAACAATCTGAATATTTAATATATAAAAATTTAAAAGATTATATATTAGTAAACTTAACCTTTAAGGCTCAAAAAAAATTTTAAGTTAATGAAATTAAAAAAAAATTTTTTTTGCATAAATTTTTTGCATTTCTATTTTGATTTAACTAATATGATCTATCTAAAACTTGAATAATTATGCTAGTACTAATTTTATAATAATGATAACAATAACAAACTTGAAACTTATAAGGCCATAACTAGTTTTCTTTCAATTAATTCATCAAAGAGTAGTTTATCAGATGCAACCAAAAAACTAATAAGTATTACTGCACTTTGACAATATTTAAATACTACAAGTTTATCTTTTGTAACTACAATATTATCAATTTTATTAGATTACAGTTTTTGAGTTCTTTGTTTAATAAATTTATATCATACTTCTTAGTTCAAATATTGAAAAGGTAGAAGCAAAGATTAGCTTTATTGTTTCAAATAAAAAAAAAACATTAGTTCTATATATATATAACTTTTTAGTATATTCAGCTTCATTTTTTTACATCTCTTAACCAATCTTAATTACAGATTAGCATCTCAATAGTTTCAGAATTAAAGCTTAACTGATAATCATTAACAATTCTTTCTACTATACTAAAAACCTAAATAAAGTAATATATATTAACTTTAATTAATTAATATTTAACAGAAATTTACTTACTGATTTAAAAGCTACAGAAGTTACTAAGATGGCAAGGATATTTTTTGCCATAGTTGCTACAAAAAGATATCTTTGTTCATTTTTTTTTCATTAGACTAAAATGTTAAATGTTTCTATAGAAAAACAGAAAAGAAGTAGGTTAGCTAAATATTATTTAAACTTATTAGTTTTATTAATTACACTAATTTGATTTGCTGCAAGATATTGGTCAAAGCTTGCATTAATTCATTATCTTGTGAATTAAAATTAGAATAATCATAATAATAATTAAAAGCATCTATATCTTGAATATATGTTGATTTATAAATTATCATAGCTCTGTATAAATAAATAGTTACTAAATTAGTAAATAGAATTTATATTTAAAGATATTATACTAAGCTAACTATTTTCTTTTAATAAAATTTAGCTTGTCTTCAGCCTCAGTAAGTGACAAATTTATTTTATACTTAAAAACATAGATGAGTAGTAACATTTTATAACAAGAATTTATTATTAATACAATGCAATATGCATTAACAGTATTTGTTCAATATTTATTAAACTTAGATTCTATTAATATAATTATTTGACAAATAAAAAAATCTAAATTAATAGTATTTTGCTCAAGATGTAATTTAATTTTTACAAAGTAAGGAAGAAAAATATTTGCTGTTGAATATTTGCTTTCTAATATAATATTCATAACTATATTTAAATAACTAGTTAGCATATAGGTTCAACAAAATTTATTATCACATTTGTACAAAATAATGTTTATAAGCATTATTTCATACAAATGCAGTAAAAATTTAATATCACCTTCATAAAATAGTTTTAAAAAATCACAAATGCTTTTAGCACTTTTTCATTTTTCTTCAAAAAGCATAATTTGCTTAAAGTTAATATCTTGTAATACAAGATGCTTAAACACTTTTTTATATGAAATAGTAGATACTAGCATCAGATAAACTGAATTCCAATAAGTAAGAATATTAAGAGCTGGTTTCTGACTTGTTATAAGCTTGGGGCAGCAGCTAATAATTGCATCTTCAAAATTTTGTAGCTAGGATTGCAAACTGTAGATTCATTTTGCATATTCTCTAATTTTGCTAACAATATTTTTAACTATTTTAAGACTATTATTAATAATAAGATTTAATATATGAGTATAGCAATGCTGATGTAGCAAAGTTTTTTCAATAACAAGCACATTCTGTTCATCAAGTTTATACTTTAAAATAGTAATTGCAGCATTATTGCTGATTGTATTATCTATAGCTATCACTAAAATTCTTAACACAACATTCTAATCATTAAAATACTTTAAAAGAATTTTACTAATAACTATACTTATATGTGGTATGAGAACTAATTTGAATAATAAAACTAATTTTTGAAGCCTTTAACTTTATTTATAAAATGACATGTAATGACTATATACATGAAAGTTAGTTTGATGTTTACAAGTCAGTTATATAACTTAGGCATCTGGATGCCTTTTCTATTATTGTGTGAGCCTTTACTTTAAGTTTTTTAACGATATTTATACAATCATTATGCACTGTTTTTTCACTTACTACTTTATACTTAGGTTGTAAATTATTAATGAACTTTAAAAATTCTTTATGTTCTATTATGTAAAATGAATAAGCATATCTAATAATCATTTTAGTTATATCTTAACAACTTCTTTTTTAGAAAAACTTATAACTAATAAGACCTGATACAGATAACTGTAATGTTTGTTGTAATCTATTATTTAAATGTTTTTTATATTTGGTGTTTTTTAAATGTTAAATTAGAGAGCTAGTACCCATATCATTATCATGCTTCAAAACATTATTACAGTATATATATTTTGCAGAATTTGTTAACAAATTATATAATATATAAATTAACTAGTTTACAAAGTTAACAAATCACATTATAAACAAGGATTATTATGCTTTTCAGGATCATGATGTATGAAATAGTTTTCTTTAAAAACTTATGATTCTGACTTGCATCTTTTACATTTTTTATTAGTAGTTGTTGTTTTAGAATTTTCATTAACAATGACTATTTTGGAGCTTTCAGTAATAGCAGTTTTTTTAGTACTTTTACTAGCAGTAATTGTTTTAACCTCTTTGTTATTTGTAGTTATTTTAGGGCTTTATATCAATAAACAATAATAGATTATTAACCAATTCAGTATCTGTGAAATATAGTTCTCTGATATATTAATTTTTTATACATTATAATCTATTTTATATCAAGTTATAGTTATTCTTCAGTATTTTCGAATAACTTAACCTGAAAAAGAAGCCTGTTGTTAAATCTTACTTCTTGACTTACATGCTTTTAAAATATGAAAACTACTGTACAAAAAACTTTGAAGCTGTATGCAATTATTTTTAAATGCATCTAATATGCTCTTATCTGATCCAAAAAGTTGTATTTTTTTTTATTTAACTCATCTTCTCACATAAATATATATATATATATGTTTTGCTTTATTTGAGCATGCACCAAACTTACTATATAGCTTGGCTTTTTTTTTAACAGCACATCATGAAAACTTTATTCTTATGCATTATCTTGCATGTACAGATGTACTGTACATATCTTTATATATAAATTTAACCAATTAGATTTGTAAATTAGCTTAAAAAAAATTACAGTAACACAAAAATATATACCTTGGTGTAAGTTATAAATTAACATGAATCTAGCTGCTATGATTGATGATTAAAAAATTTAAATTTCAAAGAAAAGTATAATTGCATAACAGCAATTATTATATTAAATCTATATATATAGTTTTTATATTATTAAACCTATATATATAGTTCTTATATTATTAAAAGTTTTTACTATAGGTATGATATTTAAATCAATATAGCTATCTTTTATGTTATAATTTGCAGCTATAGATGTAACATTTATGCATTATATTTATATATTTATTTGAATTCTAATGTTTACAATAATTTTTACTAAATATTACTAGGCCTATTAGGCTCACTAGAGTATGCTTATAAAATCCAAACCTAATTTAGTTTTAGTAAACCTAATTCAAAACCTGATATACAAAATAATAGGCTTAAAATTTGAGTTCAATTTAGGCCTAAGCCCAGCCTAACTCATAAATTTCTAGATTTAACTTAGCCTATTCTGTGTCTTACTTTTTTCTTAGATCTTTTAACTAGGTTTTTGTTTTTCTAGTTCTTATGATTTATATGGTTATGAGACTTAATATAGGTTTATACAGTTTAGTACTAGTTTGTATTTCTTTATATAAGGTTGTACAAATATTATATGATCTTTTAGTTATACTAGTATAACATAAATAACAAGTATCTGATTCTAACTAATTCTAAAAAATAGTTAATCATAATATAGAAAAAATTACAAATATTCACTGATACTGAGATTTGAACTTTAGACCTGCTATTTGAAGATTAACAATCTGTCTATTTCACTAAGTCATTATACTCTGTTTCATAAAATTTATTCTATATACTATTTATAATACTTATTAGAAAATTTCTTATTTTTTATATTAAGATAAATATTTTGTATTTTTTTAATTATCTTTTTTTTTGTAAAAGACTTTTTAATAAGTTTTTTTTTATTTTGTTCTTTCTTTTCTTGTTTGTTTTAGAATGCTTTTTTTAGTTGTATTTGAATAATTTTTTTTTTCTAAAAGTATGTTTTATATTATTGTTATTGTCAATATTTTTTTTTTTTTAAATATTAAGATGAGTACTTGTGACCCAGGATTTTATTAATAGTACATTCAGCTAATG